GAAAATCTTGCAAGAAAATTTACCTTTATTTAATCGAAAGCGATGTTTTTAAAGGTAGGAGTCAAAATTATTTCGCTTCACTATCGCATTCCTCGTCGCGTGTTTGAATCGACACCCTAAGGGCATGCACATATCAAATTGGTTATTTATTCATGCAGGGCGTGATGCACTAAATTTAGTCCTTATTATTTGATTCACTTCACAGTAACCGTCATACTCCTCTTAAAATAATGAAATTAACATCTCGCTTTTATGCGCATCACGAATCGTTTTTCAGGGCCTGTCTTTTTTCATATCAATTAATCGACGTTTTCGAATTTGCTTCGCACATTTGATGACCAATTGTTTCCACCTAATTCAGTTCATCTGTACTCTGCCAACGTTTTGCTCTTCGTTGACTTTGTTTCTTTCTTACCTTTTTACTAGGGTACTGAGGAATCTAAGCAAACCCATGCGATGGAAGCAAAAGTCCCTCAACCTGTTTCGCTCCCTGTCGTCTATGACTGTCGAGAGGATTTTTTATCCTATTTTGCTGGCAAGGCCTTTTCCACCTTTGAGGCGTTCAGTAAGGAGCTGCAGGCCTTCGAGGAAGCCACGGGCATGCAGTATATGATGAAACGTACTTGCCTTTTTAACGAAGGCACACTTGGCAGGGAATATCTTATCTATCGCTATATGCATTATGCTTGCGTTCGTCACGTTCGTCCAGCCAGCAAAATGGGTCAGAGGTTGGTACCAATAACTTATTTAAACACCTTGCTTGTTTAAGGAGTCAATGGAATGTTGGCTTGTTCAATTTGTTACTGATGATATGCTCCAAAACCTACCTTTGCCGGTGTTGACGGGTTTTTCGCCTGTGCTCAAAATTGAAATTATTTTATCTCTAACAGATTTCTTTATTAAGTTTGCTCATTCACTACCAGGCTTTGTCTAACACACTTTCATTCCTCTAATTGCGGACGGGTTGATCCTCTTATGTACTTCTATGTTCATGGGTTAGAATTAACGATATTTTAGTTGTTTTCTTCCAGACCGTATTTCGGGGCAAATTTTTTATTGGATAGGGTTACTTTCGATAATTTATTGCATACATCTGATACTTTTACGTGTATACAATCCTTTATCTGTGAGAATGCCAGCAAATTCCGACTCTTGAAGTGTTTTGCTGATGGAATAGATCAGCTGTGTTGGAACGTCTCCATTTCTTTAATTAACTACTTCATATACCGATGCTTAATGACATTGAGAATTGATGTCTCTCTCTTCAGGATATGCAGTCGGGATGCGGAGCCGATGTCTGACACTATTGGCCTCGCATTTCAGTTTGTTGGTCTTAGTTTAAAGTTACTCTGTAACTTTAGTAGGATGGCCTCCTTTTTGCCTGCTGAACGAATGGCTCTGACTGATTTTCTGAAAGCAATTGTCCTTTCACTTTTTTCCGACCTGGTAATTTAGGTCTTTTGTATTGCACATAGATTAAGTGATTGAGTCGTTTAATTTTCTTTGATGGTATTTTCTTCCAATTGATGGCGGTTGGAATGCAAAGAATCAATCTTCCAGTAAACAGTCTGGAGGAGTGCGCTCTTGCAAAAGGAATAATGCTCCCCTCACTTTGTTGTCGTCTGTTGTGCACGTGGTCCGAAGTTTCAGCAACTTCCTTTAAAATTGATGCAGATTTAAATAGATAATTTCATGAATTGGTACCATTTCTCTGTGGCTAACGTTGAACATGATCAGAGGATTCTGCGTCCTTGGTACCTCTAGGTCTAACAAGTAATATTTGGTTGTTCTAAGTTGGAAGAGGCAAGTATATAACTCAGCGATATCCTCATTGTCAAATTTATTCGTGTATGTGCTTTGCT